GCTTCTCGGACAGAATCTCTGCAGTGGACACGCCGTCAGTCTGCAGCTTCCTCTGCTGGAGGCTGCTCACCTGCCTGCACCACCCCTATTAGCTCTGGAAGCTCGCCTGGCGTTTCTCGATGACCTCAGACCTTGGCTCACACCCAGCATTGTGCCCCACCCCGCCTGTCAAAGGTCCCTGGTGACATGTGTCCAAATATTTTTGCAAGGTTGTATATGCAGCAAGATCATAATCTGATACGCTGACCGTGGATCCTTTCACTTTTTCAAAGTCGTTTTACATGCAAGACCATCCCTCCTTTGGCGTTGGGAGGTAAGGGACTCGCTCATGAAGTTACAAGGAAAGAACAGGGAAACAGAAACAACTGCATCTTAGCTTTAAAAAAAGTTTTTTTTTAAACATTTATTTTTTTATTATTTTTTCATTGGAAAGGCGGATATACAGAGAGGAGAGACAGAGAGGAAGATCTTCCGTCCGATGATTCACTCCCCAAGTGAGCGCAATGGCCAATGCTATGCTGGTCCGAAGCCAGGAGCCTCTTCCGGGTCTCCCACGCGGGTGCAGGGTCCCAAAGCTTTGGGCCGTCCTTGACTGCTTTCCCGGGCCACAGGCAGGGAGCTGGAAGGGAAGCAGGACTGCCGGGATTAGAACTTTAGCTGCTAGGCCCCCAAGTGCCAGGCCCACAAGCTTTTTAATGTATGGATTTAAAAAATTTTTGTGCCTAGGAAAGCATTTGGCCTACTGGTTAAGATGCTCAGTGTACCATATCAGAGTTCCCGAATCACATACCCAGCTCTAGTTCCTGCTAAGATAAATTTTCCAAGAATTTTTTAAGTACCTCATATAATATAATATTTGGTACAATGTTAAGTAAAAAAAAAAAAAGCAGGATTTGAAAATGTGTGTCCTTTTAATTTTTTATTACAATGATACTGAAAAAATTCTTCAAAACATATAGTTAAAATCTTGGAAGTAAATATATCAAAATATTAAGTGGCTACCTTTGGCAAGTTGTGGATAAGTTTTTTCCTTCTTTCTATCATTTTCTAATTTCTTTCTATGTACATGCATGTTTTATAATATAATTTTTGCACAAATAGCTATGTGTTATGCATTTAGTATAAATATATTTAAATATGTACTTGTGTGTATTACTTTAGGCAGAGTTTATTCCTGGCCTGAGCCTTCTGGAGTTTGGAAAAGAAGCAGAGGGATTTTTCCAGGCCCTGTATAGCTCAGCCTTGTGGAATGAGTTCCAGTTAGTCTCCCATTGTCTCTGTCTTCTTGCCTAGTAAGTAACATTGGGTGATGTCATGGACAGAATGAGTCAAGAGATCATGTGCCATGATGAATACACCTTTGTCTGTGAGAAAGATAGGCAACCTGTGTTGGTGAAGTCTTAAGTCAGCAGTTCTCAAAGTCAGCAGAATCTCAAAGTGATGGCCGGATTCACGGTAGTCTCAGTACTGCTGGTTAGCGATGCAGCTGCTTGGTGCCAGCTTTGTGGACTATGGCTTAAGCCTTTGACTCTGTTGCCAGTATCCCATGCCAGAGCACTGGTTGGAGTGCTATCTTCCATGCTTCCCAGCCAGCTCCCTGCTAATGTGCCTAGAAAAGTAGAAGATGGCCCAAGAGTGTGGACCACTGCCACCCACGTGAAGTGAAATTCTTGCTTCCTGACTTAAGCCTGATCAATGCAGCCACCAGGAAGTAAACCAGAAGATGAAAGATTCTCACCTCTGCCTTTCAAGGAAACACATCTTCAACAGAATAAATGCAATTTCTCAGTGGGTGGTATTTGGTGCAAAGCTTTGGATGTCAATATGGGACATTCACATTCCATATTGGAGTGCCTGGGTTTAAGTCCCAGCTCCAATTCCACATCAAGCTTCTTGTTAGTGTGCATCCCGGGACGCAGCAGGTAATGACTCAAGGTCTCCACATGAGAGACCCAAGGAGTTCCTGGCTCCTTGCTTCAACACAACCTAACCTAGGCTGTTGTTGGCATTGGAGAAGGGTGCCATGGGATGACAGATCTAGGTCTGTCTGCTTTTCAAACACAGGAATATAGTGAGAAATGCAACTTCTCCAATCCAGTTCAGACCTGCTGGACTGACCATCCCAGGGCTGCCTGGCAATGAGATTCCAACACTCTCACATGGGGATGCTGCCAGATGGACAGCCATGGTACTACTGCAAATTTCTTTAGCAAAATTTTTTAATCTTTTATTTTAAAAGATTATTTTATCTATTTTAAATTTAGAGAGAGAGAGAGAAAGATTGACTTTTCATTCACTGGTTTGTGCCCAAACAGCCACCACAGCCAGGTTTAGGCCAAGCCAAAACCAGGAGCCAGGAATTTCACCTTGGTTTTCAACATGGTTGGCAGGGGTCCTAGCACTTAGGCCATCTTCTGCTGCCTTCCCACATTTCAGTAATTTAAACATCTTTAACAGTATTAGATGAGTAAAAAAAAAAGCTGCAATGACAATACAGAGAAGACTTTACATTCTGTACTCAGTTTTGTCTACGAGCATCTTACAACAACGTGGGTCACTTGAAAAACCTCTTTGCTTTTTTTCACCTGAGAGAGGCAGAGGCCGGAAGTGCTCCCATCCACCTGTTCATGCCCCAAATGCCCACAATGAAATGGAACTAGAGCTCAATCCATGACTGGAATCAGTGCTCTCATAGGATGCCGACACCATAAGCCGTGGTTTAATATGCTGCACCACAGCCCTAGCCCCTAAACCACAGCTGAATGCTATAATGTTATCTTCGTTTTATAAACAAGCAAACCGAGGCACAGAAAGACTAAGAAAGTCACCCTTGGACACAGAGCTTGACATAAGGAAATGCCAGTCAAACCTGGGCAGGGTGACACAGGAGTCCACACTCGAACCATTAACTCATAGAACAAGGAAGAAAACATTCTAGTATATCAACTGGCCTTGCCTGAATTACACCTCCCCAACTTCTCTTCCTGTGTGTTGCTGGTTAGCAGAGAAAACACAAGAGGTTCTCCTAGGAGATTTGGAGGGCGGAGTGGAACAGCAGCCACATCCTGGCTGACAGATGTCATAGACTTCAGCTGTGTCATTTCACTGCCGTGCCTGCAGCTAGTGCTTGTCCCTCATTCTTCCTTCAGCTTCTCTAATTCTTGTGCCAAGTGTGTTTGGATTAACTATTGAAAGGACACTCATGCCACCAGCATTCCAGGAGATGAGGATTGACACATCCTCCACCTGTCCACATAGACCCCCAGCTCTTGCTTGTGCATTCCAGATTGTTCTGACACTCCTGCATTCTACCAGCTCCTGGCCTCATGGACTTCCAGCTCCAGCATCTGATGTGGAGACGACAGTCTTCTTAATCAGCAGTCTTCACATTTCATCTAATGCAGGACTGAGGGAATGACTGTGCAAGCTGAAAGCAGGCAAAACAATCCTAAAAGTCAGTGAGAAAGTGTGATGATTCCTTTGTGCTCTTTCAGTATTTTGCTAAAAATTTTAGAACTTCCTATCAGTTGTAAGTGGATCAGAAGTGAAAAAAAAAAAAGTAAAGCTAATACTCATGTGGTACACTACAACTTCAAATATTAAAAACACTAAAAATGAAAATACTTTTTTCCTCCATAAAAACTTAATCAACACTGCCTGCCTCCTATTGCCGTGTAACTTAGAACAGACCAAGCACGCTTTTCATGAGCTGCTGCTCCACTTCATGGCCAGTTCCCTGTTTATGGCCCAGGAAAGCAATGGAGCATGGTTCAAGTCCTTGGGTCCCTGTACCAATATGGGAGACCCAGGGGAGGTTCCTGGCTCCTGGCTTTGGATCTGCTCAGCTCTGGGAGTTGGGACCATTTGAGGACTGAAAAACAGCACGTGAAGTATCTCTCTGTCTTTTTCTCTGTATAACCTTGCCTTTGAAATAAAAATAAGCAACTATTCAGAAAACACACACACACACACACTAAAACAAAACAAAACAGCCTATATGAATGTTTTCCCCTCTACTTTCCATAACATAAAATCCTTTTGGCCCCAAGATGGTGTTCATGGAGCATGGAGGTGAGTCCCTGGAGGCCAGTTCTGCAGAGGGCACCAGAGGGGTAAGCCAATAAGCTGGGTCAGTCAGTCCAGAGTGCTGGTTCCACTGCTGGCTGCAAGATCTCCTGCTGAGCTATGAAATCACCCTTGATCTTAGTCTTCTCTTCATTAGAATGAGTCAACAGCAGTAGCTAAATTCTCCAGAAGTCGTGAAGATTAGAGGAACCAATGCTTGTAAAACCCCAGGCCCACCTGTTAGAGTAAACACTGAGATCAACCATTGAACAGCAGCATTGGCTTACCAGGGCTAACCTTAACCAGCGGATGCCACTCTCTGCCCACAAAGTGAAAAGCATGCTGAGCACACCCAGGAAGAGAGGGTGGGAGGATTTCAGGGGCAGTGGCAGGGACATTGAACATGATTCCAAACGTTCAGGTAGTTTTAGGCCTTGCTGTGTGTTGGCTCCTGGTTCCTGGCCATCCAGCCTGTTCCCCTTGGTCTCCTACCTCAGAAAGCCAGAGACTAGCCAAGTTGCACCTGCCTGTCTTGGAGCAGTGCTGCCCACCTCTAAGGCCAAGGGAAGATGCCAGTTACTGGTACAGGGATGGGGGAGAGGGTGTGGGCAAGCCTGGAGGACACAGGAACTGAATTAAAGGGTCAGGGGACTGAAGCACTTCAGACTTTAGCAGCAGATGGAGGCAGGAAGAACAGAGGTCAGAGGGAGTAGGAACCTGGAGACACATGGTCCAGGAGGCTGTAGTGGAACAGAGTGCCTATAAGCCCTGAAATCCAAGGGGCAGTTTTAAGGGACACAAACCAAATGGGATGCTAGCATTACAGCTGGAGGCTTTTATGGGCTACACCACAATGCTGGCCCTAAGGTTTTTAAATTTTTATTTATTGGAAAGACGGCGAGCCAGCACCACTGACCAACCATGAACTTAGATGCCAGCTGATCATTCACTTCTCAACCCGATCTCATCCTTGCACAGGTGCCATGCTAATCTTCTCTGTATCGTTCCAATTTTAGTATATATGCTGCCAAAGTGAGCACCCCAATCTCAATCTGCAAGAACCTCTACCCCTAACTCCATGTGGATCCTGGGAATGAAACCACAGGTGCCTGATTCCTGCTGTGCTTTGCAATAAATACCTACTTTCTTGCACACTCCACATCTGTAACTGGTTTTCTACATATCAGTTGAATGGACTGGTTTGGGAGGGGTCTACAGCAACAACTCCAACTAGCATGTTGTTTGGTAGCATTTTCAGAAGCAAGCACTAAATTTTTCAAAAATTTTTCAAAAAATAGTACCTATAGCACTACCAACTACAAATAGAAAACCTTTTTCTTTTATCTATTTATTTTTATTGGAAAGTCAGATATACAAAGAGGAGGAGAGAAAAAGAAAACCTTTTATTTTAAATTTTATTTATTTATGTGAAAAGCAGTGATAGAGAAATCTTCCATCTGCTGGTTCATTTTCCCAAAGGCTGTGGTGGCTGAGGCTAGGCCAGGCCCACAGCACAGAGCCAGGAACTCCACCTGGGTCTCTTACATGGGTCAACTTCCTCTGCCTTCTCAGACAGATGAGCAGAAAGCTGGATTGGAAGTGCAGCAGAGAGGATTCAAACCAACAATCACTGTGCCACAATGCCGGCTCCAAGACAGAAGACCTTCTGTGGTGTTACGTTATCTTCCAATATTGCAGGTACCCTGGCATAGTTCCTTGCTCTTAACCCCGGGGCTGGCCCCTAATTCAGAGTGTGGTGACAATGGCAGCTCTACAGCAAAGCAGCAGCCCTAGCAAAGCCCAGCAGCTTTTTCCTTTTCCCTTTGGGGATGGCTGAAGTAACAGGCAGGAACTTGAGTTGCCCTGCTATAGAAATCAAGCAGGGAGGCAGAGACTTCCAAACTGGAGGGAGAGGGGACACAGTCCCTCCTGCATACAAGATGTGCAGGGACAGCAGGACAGCAGGGTCAACCCCCGCCTAGATCTCAGATCTCAGAGCAACTGCTCTGAGATGACTGCTGTTTAATGTCATCCTTTGGGACTGGATATCGTACAATACATATGAAGACTCATATGGGCAACTACTGGTACACTCAATTTCACATAGAATTCATCTCCGTCCCTCACACTAGCTCCCAGAGCTTTTCATATTACTAGCTTACTATTATTTTAATGGAAGGAAGTTCGAGGTATATAGCTTGTGTCACCTCAACGTGAGACCTCGAATCAGCGACCCGGGATTGCCAGTCCTCCGTTCTCCCTCTGGCCGCCCCTTGCGGGTTTGTCATGAATGAAGGTGACTTCCAAGGAGGACAAACCTGTGGCTGAGTCCGCGCCCATCACCTGCCACCAAACCCCAAAGTCTTTTTTCTTCATATATTCCCCGACCAGCTCCGGAGATGATGGTTCAGGACCTCTGGAGTACAGCCCAGAAACCGACCTTCAAACAAAAAGAAAGAAAGAAAGAAAGAAAGAAAGAAAGAAAGAAAGAAAGAAAGAAAGAAAGAAAGAAAGAAAGAAATTTCTCCTCTAGCCTCCCGCGCTGGACCAGTCCTTCCCGCGACCACGCCCCCGCCTGCCTGCCGCCGGGGCCTGGAAACTCCAGGTCTCGCGCGACCGCCTCCTGCTTCTTCAGGCTCGACCGCAGGTGTCGCGAGAGGGGTTTGTCCAATCATAGGCTTTGATTGCCTGACAAGATGGCGGCGCGCTGGGAGCGTTGCCTCTGCGTTTGCGAGCGCTGCTCGCTGCGGGTGGTTTAAGTTCCTGGGAGGTCGTGCAGGCCCAGCTCGGACCCGGAGTGTCTGACGGGAACACCAGCGTCAGAGGTGGGTCACTTAGCACCTCACAGGCATGTTCTTCATTGACGGGTCCGGGGCCGGTGAGGGAAATATGCGGTGGATATTTGCGCGTGGAGTGTGTGTGTATGGGGCGGTAGTGTTCGGAGGGGTTGGCGATTTAAGGGAGACCACGGCTGAAGGAGGAGAGACCCCAGGGACTGCGAGGTGTGCACGCATCCGAAAAAGGCAGGGAGACGAGCGGGGTGGGATATGGGTGAGGAAGGAGTGGGAGAGTGGGACAGCTGGCAGGGGCGGCACCACGGGAAAGTCGGGTTTAGGAGGAGGATAAAAAGTGAAAAGGAGTTGGGGTTGCACTGGGAGAGATCTGTGCATTAGGAAATCGAAGTTCAGAAAGTGAAATTTAGGTTATCTTGCTGACTTCTGTGTTAAGAGGAATGGTGGTGGTTGAAGATGATGGGTCAAGAGTCAGAGTCGAGGAAGTGTAGAGATGAGAAAAATCAAAGAAAATGGAAGCGTGGTTCTAAAGGGTTTGCACTACTTTAGATTTTCGGACTGACTCAGGTAACCCAGGAGGAGTCCCAGCCTGCTTTTCTTCTATTTTCTTTTATTTTCCCTTTCTCTTTCTTTTTCTTGTTGGACAGGAAATACACAAAATATATGCAATGTCTGATGAGTAAGTTGAGTGAAAAGACTTAAGCTGGAAAGATTACTTTTTAAATGGGTCATCATTGAGACATGGGTATTGGACCCAAAGACCTGAACAAGGGGAAGATAAAACTATTGGTGCAGGGAGAGAGGAGACTTTGCATACCGAGCAACAGGTGCAGAACGTAGAATGCCTGAGTGTGCCGGACTTGGAAACAGCAAGGAAGCCACTGTGGTGATGGCAGCATGAAGCAGGACAAGTAGGTGTGGCTGAAGCCAAGTGGGGAGATAGAGCTGAAGAGCTGACACTCTGGAGAACTCAAATATATTGAGCTAAGGACTGATCATATTGGGAAGTTAGTGAGCAAGGCAATGGCTTGATTCATTATTGGTTCTGACCAGAAAGTTAACTAGTGTAGGAAATGAGTTAAATTTGCCTTATCTGCGATTCAGTTTGTTCGTGTATGTTCAGAGTGTCATAGTATATGTAAAATGACACAGCTGTGTAGTCAAAATTTGTTTATTTGTGGGCCTGCCCATTGGTTCACTGATTAATTCCTTCTCCAAGTGCCAACAGCCCATATGAGCACCAGTTTGTGTTCCAGCTGCTTCACTTCCCATCCTGCTCCTTGCCAGGAAAAGCGATAGAGGATGGCCAAGTCCTTGTGACCTTGCACATGGGAGACCCAGAAGAAGCTCCTGGCTCCTAACTTCAGATCAGCTCGGCTCTGGCCATTGTGGCCATGTGGGGAGGGAATCAGTGGATGGAAGATCTTTCTCTCTCCTTCCTGTAAATCTTCCAATAAGGCTTATTTATTTGAGTGGCATAGAGAGAGAATCTTGTATCTGCTGGTTTACTCCACAAATGGGTGCAAAGGCCAGAGCAGGGCCAGACTGAAACCAAGGACCATGATTTTCTTCTGAGTCTGTAGTGTGTTCAGGAGTCCAAGTACCAGCGCCCGTAACAGGGAACTGGATTGGAAGTGCCAGATGGCGTACCTGCGTTGCAGGTGGCAGCTTAACCAGCTTTAGAATCTTTTTTTTTTTAAAGATTTATTTATTTATTGGAAAGTGAGATATACAGATACAGAGAGGAGGAGAGACAAAGAGGAAGATCTTCCATTCGATGATTCACTACCCAAGTGAGCTCAACGGCCGATGCTATGCTGATCCGAAGCCAGGATCCAGGAACTTCTTCCGGGTCTCCCACAGGGGTGCAGGGTCCCAAGGCTTTGGGCTTTGCTCTCTACTGCTTTCCCAGTCCACAAGCAGGGAACTGGGAAGGAGGTGGAGTAGCCGAGACTTGGAGGTGGAATACTTAGCTACTGAGCCATGGTGCTGAGACACCCTCGAAACATTTTAAATGCCTCACTCACATGTTAGCTAATTGTACACATAATAGCCAACAGAACATCTCTGAAGGAAAAGCACACAGCATGGGATTGGATGTGTGGCCACTGAGAAACCAACTCTCAGGGTGCTGTTGAAGGGCTAATGGGCTATCCTGAGTGGAAAGAGCTGCTGGGAGTGTGAGGAGAGTCTTAAAACAGCAGCAGGTGGCAGAGCCGACCACCAAGCAGCAGAGGAAATGAAAAAGGCCAGCATGTCTGGAGCCTGGTGCACATGGGGGAGTAGTGACAAACAAGGTTGGAGGGCTAGGCAAACCTAGAGCATGCATGTTAGTGATCCCAGACTTTATTAGCCTGATAGCTTCAGAATCTCCTGAAGGGATTTCACCAGGGAATGCTCAAATTTGCATTGGGAGGGAGGGAGGGAGGAGGGGGAAAGAGATTGCTGGTTGAAAAATGTATCATGGGGGCAGAGTAGCTACTAAGAATTATTAGAGACTTTCTGAGTAATTTTGAGAAAGTGATCATAATGAGGTAATAATGATCTGAATGGGGAAGGTAAAATGGTAAAGGATGGAAAGTTTAATCTGTTTAAGAGCTAGTGAGAAGATAGAGAATATTCAGGGCACAGTGTTTTTGCAATGGTAGAAACAGGAAATACTGAAGATTTCTGGTTTGTACACTACAGGAGCAACAACGGTGCCATTCGGTGGGATAGGGGCAATTGGGAAAGGAACCATCTGGGGGAGTTGAAACAGTTTAATTTTCGACATGCTGTAAATGAATTACTTTTAAACCATACAAGTGAGAAAAATGGTAGGCGGCTGGGTGTATGATTTGGGGAGGTCTGAAGTGAACACAATTCTTTGTTAAAGCAGGCGTGATTTCCTCTGTAGAAAATTGTCCCAAAAAGCAGGGGTGGGGGGTTCCTGAAATTCAGGCATAATAGATTTTATTACTATGTAAAATCACATTTCGAACAGAGTTTGCAAAGGAGAGGTACTAGGAGACTTTGTAATAGGGCCTAGCACTGACTGTTGTGGCCATTTGGGACTCAGCAGAGGATGGAAGGTCTCTCTCAATTTGCCTTTCAAAAAATTAATACATTAAAAAAAATAAAATGGAAAGAGATTGAATTAGTCCTGAACTTTGTTACTTAACACAATATTGTTTCAATGAATACTTGGCTGTAAAAATGTCAGCACGTATGATAATGTAAAGAAGAAAATAAAAATCACTTACCATCCA